GAAAGAGACCCGTGGGTTGAGATAAGAACAATTTAATACTACTACTACTAATATATGAATATATATATGTATAATGATAATATACACAAACAAGTGATGCGCAGTGTAATTGCTCACCACCCAGTGACCAAGACCCGTCCTGTCCTGGACTAACAATCCTGAAACAAATTAAGTCCTGACACCACAATCCTGGGTGAGCAAGAGGCCCAGAGAGAGAGAGAGAGCACTCCTGAGAGTGAGCCCCCAGAAGAGCAAAAGCCCTTGTTTCCAGTTAACCCTCATTTTTATACTGGGCATGACATTGCATGATATGGAATACTTCACTGGCCAGTTCGGCCCTCAGTCCTAAGTCTAAGTTCAAATTGTAAGGGGAGTTGTGGACCCTCTGTCCCAGCCATGCTCCCCACCAGCCCACTGTGCTCCTGCACACTGGCGAAACATGAGAAGCTGAAAAGTCCTTGAGGTCTCGGTGCCAACTACGAACATCAGTGCGCTATCAACATTCTTCTCACGAGTCCCAGACCAAAGCAAAACACAGAGCTCTTCTAGCTGCTAAAAAGAACTGTCCCAGCTGAAACCAGGACAAGGAGAGATGTAGGCTCTGCTGGTTGGCAGTGAGGTTTCAGCACTTGCTGCATATAGTATAACTTCTGTTACTCTGTTCTAGGCTCTTAAGTTGAAATCTGTCATCTCCATGTGTTGACGATGGAGCTGAATTTGGATCTGCAGAAAGGCTGTGCAGTTGCCATCAAAACCTAGCGAGGTGTTTAATTCCATCACTCTTTGTCGTGCCAAACAGGAGGATTGCTATTTTATTGTAACACATCGGTTGTTTTTTTGTGGTTTTGTTTTTTGGTTTTTTTTTTTAGGAGACAGACAGGAGTGTGGATGTGTGTCTGGTCTGTTGAGAAAAGTAGGTTTGTGCTGATGCACTTGGAGTGCTGGTCAGCCTGAATCACTCTTCTCACTTCGTATTTCAGCAGCTTTATTGTCAAGCCCTATTGTGGTTGCCTTTTAGTCACATCAGAAACCAGGTTTTGATTTTGGCCATTTAATGTCAAACTGTCTTTAATGTCTTTAATGTTCCTGATTCCCAGGAACTAGTTAGAGTTCTTTTATTCTGTAAAATCAAATTGCTCACTTTGAACCGCAGAAAAAGTTCATAATTGTTACAGCAAAGGACAAGCTGTCAGACTTTCCCCACGTAGATGAAAGGGAAGGATGTGAATTGAGGCTTTACTGGTTTTCTGCAAGAAAGCATAAATAGGAAGGTGTTTTTGACCAGGAAAAAGATGAATCTCACAGTTAAATTGTGAGTTGATTAGTCAGATATTTGGGTAGCAATAATAATTATCTGGCATTTCACCACTTTATTGACTTACTGTTTATGCACTTGTTTTGATGTATTGGGCATGTCAGAAATGAGCTGTGTAATCTGGAAAAGCAAAAAAGAAGGAAGCATGAAAACATGCTGCTCCTGTAACTGTGCTCGTTTTGCAGTTGGCATTTCCACAACATCAGGATTCTCCTATTTCACGCCGTTCCTCTTGGTGTAACCTAAGATACCTCGTTAACCCAGCACGGCAGACAGCAGTCTGTAACAACAGCATAATGCACCCTGTTCGTGCCAGGGGATACAGTCGTTTCCAGCTGTCCTAAGTCACTACAGTAATTAGTGGTAACTCGAGAACCACTCAGCTGGAAACAAGGCACTTGCAGCACGAGGCCTGGTCACGCTCTACACAACTTACTGCTGGAAGTCACTGCAAATCCAAGCGTAGTGCTTAGGAAGGGGAAATGGAGCACTTTCAGTGGAGCTCCTCTCCCTGTCCTCCCACCTGTTGGAAAACTAGGGGCTGTCCTCAGAGGTGTGAGGGCCTCAGGGGGAGTGTTGCCATACAGCTGAGCAGCTGAGCCTCCCCAGAAATGTCCTGCCTCAGAAAGAGGGCCCTCTGTAGATCTTCAAAGTAGCAAATAATGCTGCAACATTACGGTAACAGTGTAACAAAGCTGGCTCATAGGAGAATGGGACTTTCATTAAAACTGAGTCAGTTTCACTCATTGGATTCATAACTGCATAATTAAAAGCACCAAGCTGTGCAAGTCCCAGCTGTCTGGTAGGATTCCTTGTGATGACATGTAGGACAAGAGGCATGTGATGTCAGGTCCTCATGTCTCCTGGGTTTGTGATCTGGGTATTTTGTATCTTCAGTCCTGGTCTCCACCTTCCTGCTGTGCTCTCTTAACAGCTTGAACTGTTTAGTTTGAGGGTAGGTTGTCTTTTGTTCTCCCAGTTTGGCTCCTGGGAATCTGCATACAGATGTGCTGGGATCTAGATGACTTCAACACTTGACACTCTAATTAGGCCTCCTTCTGCCATTCCCTTCCATCTGTTCGCTGCTCACGCCAATCTTAAACATTTCCATTACAGTTCCCTGCATTGGAACCCACCTGCAAAAGCTGTGCTTACCAGTAGCTCCACATGAACAATCAGCCGTCACCCTCCGTGCCAGAAGACAACACAAACATAGAATCCTTTACTGTTTCTACTTTAACAGAAGTTATGGCAGTTGGTAGTAAATTTATAGCAATTTGTAGTAATTTATATCACCTCGGGCCTTCCCCCTTGCAGGAGGTTGAATTTCAAGGCAATTGTTAAAAGTCTGAACCCTCGATCAAGGCTACATGATTCAAAGTGCTTAACAATAACCTCTGCTCGCCTTCTGCCAGTTCTTCTCCATGTCCAGTGTCGAGGTTTTTGCTTGCTGATCCCTCTTGGCAGGTGTCAGCAACTAGATGAAGATACATACCCTTTCTGCTCACCGCTGCTCTGATCTCATTTTCTTGTTGCTACTCAGCAACAACATTAAGCAGACTAGAAGAATTTCCGTATATGTCTGTGAGGCTCAGGAAAAGAAAGGGGAGAAATTCCTCTTCTTCCAAGCTGTTGCATAAGCAGTATTTTAGGGCAATGGGTAGAATGGGTGCAATATTCAGTGCAGATACATCTCCATGTTTCTTTGGACTGATTGCTTTTAATTTCTACAAATCCTTACAAATAGTTTACTGTCCTCTTCCTGATGCCAAGCATTTTAGTCACTTTGCGGTTTGTGTCCGTTTAGTAGATAAGCTCGCCTGTCAGAAGAGCTGATTGAAATCAAACGTTGCTTACTTGGCTGGATTTCTTTTTGTTTGGGGGGGAAGGAGGAGTAAGGGAGACTGTTTTTTGATTTTTGTATCAGCAGAGACAAATAAAGAGCTGTGCACCAGCTGCACATGTGGAATAGTGTTTTTAAGATACCATGCTTCACTACATGTATGACACTCAAGAACTCTTCGCAGTGTAATGCAAAACTGAGAAAGTTGCATAATCTTGTTCATTGCTTTAACAGTTTTTCTTTTCAGGTATATTTTAGATAATCCACGTGTCGTTAAAGGACGATCGGTTTTGGATCTCGGAAGTGGATGTGGAGCAACAGCAATAGCTGCTGTGATGAGTGGTGCATCGCAAGTCCTTGCCAATGACATTGACCCTAGTAAGACCTTTTTTTTCATCTCTGCGTAAACATATTTAGTAATTTTTACAGCACATTTAACACAGACTTTTCTTTGCTCCATCCGGGAGCGATTCAGGTTCCAAACAGAGTTCTAAGAACGCTAAAAAGATGAATGGATTTTGCCAGTACCAGAAGCTGGGTTGTACCGGTCTCTCTTGCACTGAGTATGTCTCCGTAGCTCCTTAGAATGAACAAACAGCAAAGTTTCTATCAAACGTTGCCTATACACCATCACAGCTGGTTTGGAAGACAACTCCAAGCACAGATGGCAAGTTGGCTTCTCTGTAGGACCATAGCATTTTCCTGCACTTTCATATGTTAGGGCCTGGATTTTGGCTTTTTCCCCTAGAATTTCTTTTCCCATAATTGACTTATGAATTCAGTTTACTCATAATTTAATTACTCATTGGTTAGGGAGGAAGTATATCCATAGATTAAGGCAGTTGGATATTCTGTTTTGATTCCATGATTGGTTTGTACTGGTATCCATTCCAGGAATAGTTCTTCCCTGTGTCATGGTGCAATGAGGATAAAATCCCATCACTTTATGCCACGTTTTGACCCATAATGAAAACTCTGGAAGTTCCTAGATAGGACGAACAAAAACATTTAGGAGATGAAATTGAAAGATGCGTCACGGAAATTTTTAAGGGGGCTGAACAGTAGAATCCTAAAATGTAACTTTCATTTTACTTTGACTTTTCTTCAGTTGCAGGAATGGCAATGATCTTGAACTGTGAACTGAATCACCTGAATCCTTTTCCCATCACCATTAAGAACATCATTAATTCAGAGGCTGGTAACTGGGACCTCATTGTTCTAGGAGATATGTTTTACGATGAACAACTTGCTGATGGTCTGCATCACTGGCTGAGGAAATGCATCAGGATACAGCAAACTGAAGTGCTGATTGGTGACCCTGGCAGGCATCAGTTTTTAAGCCACAGCATTCACAGTCAGTTGCACAAAGTTATAGAATATTCACTTCCCGAGTACACTAGACAAGAAAACAATGGATTAACATCAAGTATCGTCTGGAGTTACCAGCCCTCAAATAGCTTAGAAAACTGTTGAAGCTGGCTTTCTAATGAATTTTGTCTCACTTGGTTGGCATTTTTTGTAAGTATGTAAAATGAACATCGGAATTAAACATGGAACATATCTGGTGATGCAAAGTAGATCACTTTACCTTCACTCTACTGATTTCAGGCGTACTCACTGAGGCTTTTGCTCCATTTGAGGTAAAAACTACATGCAAACTTTATTCAAAGGGGCCTGCACTGAAGTGCAAATCCGAAGATGAGTTACATGTAAGAGTGTGCATGCCTGATGTTTTTCGTGTATGTTCATGTCTTGCTCTCTAACACTATTGTGAAATGTTTTGTACGTCCAGTGTACTGCTGTGGGGAGAAGACAGTGGCTGAAAGATTACTGCACTGCTTTCACAGACTTTTGCAGCTTGTTTACAGAGAAAATTATTGCTGTCCTTCATAAAACTCCGCTAGGTTACAGCTCATACTATACTCAAAGTGCCTTGCTTTTTTCCTGGCTATCTCTTTGGAATGTCAAAGTAACTAATTTAAGCCTCCTCCTTCCTCTCTATAATAAAAATCTACTCTTCCTTGAAGCTTCCAGAGTGATTATTTAGGAGCTGCACACAAATCTAAAATATGTTTCTTGAACTCTGGCCAAAGTAAAAGTTTTTAGTAAGTGGCAGTGACTAAATAGTAACAGCTATAGGGTTACTTTATCCCCTAGAGAGCAGGGTCAAATGATCTACATTCCTTAACTCTGCAGGGGTAAAAAAGGTAATCTATCATGATGGGAAGCTGATGAGGGATGAAGAAATCTTTCCTTGCATGATGTTTCTGAACAGAAGGTAGCTAAATAAAAATAGGGAATAAGTGTCGGATATAGTTTTTCTCTTCTCTTGAGGAGATGCTGGACAACAAGCTCCAGAATCATTCTCAGCTACATCTGCCAAGGAAGAACCCCCTCTGCAGGGTATTTAAAAAAAGAAAAAAAGAAAATTGTGATCTACAGGTTAAGAGGCTGCAGATGCAGCCATTTGAAGAAGGAGAGCAGTCTTGCAGGAACTGTCATCTTTAGCAGTTAACTATTGAACAAGCAGTTATGGGGAACTAAGAGCTGTAGATGGCAACACAACGCACCTACATTTATCCAAATATCAGGTGATGTAGTGGAAGCATATAAACGTGAAAAAGTATGTGGTACTCACTCAGAAAGTGTTTATGAAGTAGGAGATGTTAAATTATATTTTATGACCATGTACAAGTTTTCAGAACTATCCAAACGGGAGACTTACAAACTTTAATCTTCAGAACAATATGTGACTATTCTGCAGTGCTCACGCAACAACTTACCAGAGCAACAATATCCAAACCATACAGAATATGAAGTGATAAGTGCATGAATGATGTTCTCCCACTTCACCCAGTGGTCGTAAACATTTGTTGAAAACTACTGTTATTTAACCTGAATCGGAAGATACTCCAGGAATTACGCTAGTAACAAACCCATAGGAGAGCGGACTCAAGCTCTGCCAGTGAAAGATTGAACGTGACTTACGTTAAACTTTCAAACCTAAAAACCACATTGCAGTGTTGTACAGATTTTTAAGCAGAAGGTGAGGATATACTACTAAGTTACACATTTCTAGAAGAGACTATAGGAGAAGACAGTAAATCTAAATGCATGTTTAAGGACACAGCGTAAACTGCATTTGCCTTCGGCATGACAAATCCAAGGTTACATTCACAAGGGGAAAAAGGATGACTGCCAGTGAGGTTAGCAGTAGCACTGTCCCACAGATAAATTTTTTTTAAGTGTTCTTTGCTGTTACAGATTTTGGTGGTCTTCTACCTTTAGCTGCTTTACATTATCTTAACTCATAATTTTCTTTTTGGATGTAGCACTTGAGATGAGAGTCTGGCAACCATCACCAGACTGCATTATGGTTCCATGACTTACAGTAACGGGACTGGGCTTGTTTAGCTTGGAGAAGAGAAGGCTTCAAGGGACCTACGAGCAGCCTGCCCATACCTATGAGGAGGTTGTCAAGATGACAGCCAGGCTCTTCCAGTGAAAAAGAGGGTAAGCTGAAATAAAATAGGGTCAAATGGAATCAAAGGAAAACTTTTTTCCAGCATGAATACAGTCAAGCAGTGGAACAAGTTGCTTCAAAAGGTTGTGAGGGCTCTTCAGTTTTTCAAGACTCGGCAGGATAAAGCCCTGACTAAGCTGGTCTAAGCTCTGAGCTGGCTCTGCTTTGGGCAGGAGATTAGACTAGAAACCTCCTGAGTCACCTTCCCACTCGAGTTAGCTTACAATTCTACTTTTTTTTGTGGCACTCTTTCTGAAACCAGGGCTGGCAGCCTGACCTTTATGCTTTGCTTATTTGACAGGATTACTGTGTCATTGCTGCTGCCTAATCAGCTAGGTGGACCAATATGAAAAATAGTACAAAACATTTATTGCCAACTCATGTCCAAGAGTTCAAAGGTATGATGGGCCCTGATTGATACCAGGATTCTACAGGGCAAAACAATAACTACTCTTTAGCCGAAAAAGGGAATAAACCGTGGTAGATGAGGTTCTTAGGCCTCTGTCTGGACCAAGGATTTGCTGCAATTACAGTCTTCAGACACTAGTTGCTAACGTAGCAAAACCAACTTCAGTGTGCATGAATGGTTTGTACTGGTGCAGTTGTGCCTATAGGTATCACAGGAACACATTCATCACTGGACTGAGCCATGGTATTGTACGCAACAAGAGTTACCGATTTAGGCACTGGAGTTTGAAAATTATGCTTTCAGTTACACTTGGACATGTTTTCTTAATGGACTTGCTCTTCCATAAACCATATAATCAACAGAAGAATAGAGATTATTGTCAGACAGCATAATATCCTTTAATATCACTGGATGAAACATGTATTATTATCTTCCGTGCAATTTTACCAGAACTTTAAATAGATTAGTAGAAGACTGGTTTATTTCTGCAACACTTAAAATGAGCGTGGCTATGACAAGAGTTAAGTTATAAAGTAAGCATATTCCTTAAATTGCCTAAACTCATGGGTTTCTAAGTGTCATCAGATCCATATAAGACCACCCTAGCTAAACCCTGCAACTTCCAGATGCAGAGTATCAACATAGTGTGATACCTGCCCTGTATAATGCTAAAATTGCTAGCATTTTCAAAAATTTACTGTAGAAACCGTAGACTAACTAGAGATAGTTTCAAGAAAGCCTATGAACATGACTTATAATTGTGATGAGACCACTGCTCCATCATGTAATAAACTCATTCTACACTTCTAATTATTTTTTTCTTTAATATGACTACCACTGAACAATATATAAATGATTTCCAGCGTCTGGAGCTTCACAATATATTTTCACAATATATTTTCAGCTTCTGGAGGCCACTGCAGATATAATAAACCACATACAGCAGAACACATACTCTGCTGAACTCTACCATCCTGAGATTCACGTACTCAGACATGACACAAAGTTTGGTCCTGTTTCACTCAGAGCTATGCTTACGAGAACCAACGTTTTGTTCCCTAAAAGGATTTTCAGGCAGGAACATAGGCAAAAGCCAGAGCAAATAAGTATTTGCCCATATATGAGATTCTTTTATTGGTCATCACTACTACGAAACTTAAGTCACCACAAGAATTTCAAAGCAATTTTATGTTTACATGTTCACAGACTGTACTTTTGGATGTATAAAAAGTATTTGGCAGTAAATAAAAAACAAACCTGCAGCATCAGTAATTCTAAAGAAAGGGACCTACAGTTTTTCCTCCAGACCTAGCACAAGTACATGGTGAAAGGAGACTGACTGTTACATTCGCGTTGCTGTTAATGCCACCTCCATTCACCAGTTCTGTCTGTTGACTTTTGTCAGATTAAAGTCCCAACTTTACGGACACTTCTGCACAAGTGTCAATACCACGTCTGGGCTTGTTACTTCTCGTTGCAATTACTCTCTCAGACTACAACCTCAGAACAGATTTACTTACACACTTACTGGGTTTGCATGTGTAGCTAAGATGCCAAAAGATGGTAAGTAGTAACCAAATCTGATACTTCAAGGAGGCTGAGCAATGACAACATAATATTAACTACAGTTTAACTTTCCTCTTAAGGAAGTATGATCAGCGATGCAAAGACAGACAGGGTTCTAAGTAGAGACAATGGGGAAGCCTTGACTCACAGGCAAGGACTAGAATGGCCACGGAGACCTCTGGTGGGAACAAGGAGGGAAGCAATCTGGTAGTACAAAAGTCACCAGCTCTTTCTCCAAGGTGCTTGTTTTCTGAAAGAGCTCTCCCATCTGTAAACTTTACACTCATACGTACATGATAAATAATCAGTAAACAGTCCATGTTACTTGCTTGATTTTGTTTGATATGACTAGCTGCTCTAAAACATCTCGGGAACGATCTGCAAAAGAAGCAAAGAATTCCTTGTTATTAATTCGGAATATATATAGATGGTGTTCAGAAATTAGGTAAATGGCAAAACAAATCAATTATATATCCTCATGTATGCTTATCTTGCTATTACAATATCACACTTCAGATACACCTGTAGTAACTCAAAACCACTCAGTTCTTTCTCCAATTACGTAACTGTACATCACTAACCAACTAAACTTAAAAAATGCAAGAGAGATCACAACCTCTCTTAAGTTTGTGAGTTTTTTTTCTTTTTTTCAGGCTGATCAGTCTTACTTCATTCCACTGGGTCTTGAGTGGATTCTGTTTCATACTTTTGGAAAAGAGTACGTTTTAATATAACAACATATTTTTCTGAAGTCTTATCATCAACTTTGGGTCTTCATCAGCATGTTGCGGGGAGGAAAAAAAAAAGAAGGAAAGAAAAAAAAATCCAAACTCCAAAACAAAACAAAAAAATCCTTCTCTGAAGGTTGCCATGTTTCAAAGCAGAACTCTCACTTTGCTTCAAAAATCTCAATGTATGATTATTATTTTATCTAGTTAATTGTTATTTGTTTGGAATTATTTACAAAGTATAGTGTGCTTTCCAGAGAGCAAGAAGATACTATCAGGGGGTAATTACTCTTCTTACTCCCTGCGTGACCTGACCTACCTGTTATCAATGGGCATCCATGGAACAGAAAAATGTGTATCTTCGGACAACAAGTAAGGACCGCTTCCACAGCGACATCAGTCAGATTCACACAGCGCTCCATGTGGATCTCCTGTAATGAAAACAGAAGTAACAAAAGCCTGTCAGAGCTTGGTTTTGCAGGCTGAACTTTCCTTTGCCCAACCATTTTCAGAGATCCCCACCCAGAAGAAATTATGACCTACTCCTCCTCTGTGCATTGATGCCATATGCATTGACCAGGAAAATACCCTCAGGAAAAATAACGCAGCTTTTCTACGGAGAGTCAAAACTAGAAACATAAACCTGAGTCTTCCCAAAACGCATATACCATTCAAGACAACTGAGAAAACTCTTCAATGAGATTCACGGTGTTTGAGTCCCACCAGTTTTCCTATGACACACATTCTCCTAGCAATTTGTTGTCCAGGAGAACAGAACCCAAACCGAATTCTGGGGTTTCCCAAAACAGGCAGAATTCATGAGTCTGGGCTGAAGTTCCCAATATCTATCTATCTACACAGTTCCTAAAAGAAGTCTAAAAACTTCTTCCAAGACCAGACTGAAACCTGCTCTCTTCTTAATTTCTCTGCAGTTGTACAACTAGTACCTGTTGTATGTGCTACAGAAATAATAAATTCAGAATAAATTAACAGATAACTATCAACTTCCTTTTTTTCCCCCCCTCTAAACTGCCTTACATATCAATAAATATAACACACAAGAAGAAATGCGCAAAAGAGACTATCAAATCTAATGAAAATAGGATTTGGAAAATATACTTCGGGGACCTTGGGAGTAAAAATTAAAAAATACCCCATTGTCTTATTGTGAAAGAGTTTCCTTCCAAATAATAAACTCCAAGGATCTTGAAAGAGCACAGAAGTGAAAGGGACCTTTTGTAATAAATGCAACTTTGCACAGAATGATGACACAGAAAACAAGAACTGTATTCAGAGAAGCAAGATATACAAAAGCTTATATAGTTTTTAGTTTATTTTAATTAGTGAAATGTGGAACATGAATGCCTCTGAATGAAGTAAAAAGATTTATAAATCTGCCTGCTAGTTACAGTTTGAGAATTTTAAGACTATTTTTTTCATCATGTACCTGACATTAGATCACTGCCTATAAATCTACACTTTGATGATATGAAAGAGGTATGAGGATTGTGACACAGAACAAGGAAAAGAGTTACACTGAAAAAGAGATGGTAGCAAATAATTCCACATTCTCTACTAAATTTCTTTTCTTACTGCTTGTAAACCAAGACACCTAAACTGCTCTAGCTGTTTATACTGATAGAATACAACTTTTGTTCTAAAAATTGTCATTCCACACAAAGCCCTTAAATTTTGCCTTATTAAAACTGTACAGACTGCAAATCTGTTTGCTCTCCAAATAAAACAATAACATTTATATTTTTTCCCACATTATTGTCAGTTGACTCAGATTTGGTATTTTGTTTAAGGTTGTTTTTTTTATTAAACACTATAAACTAGCAAAAGTATGACTTGTTTCCTATCTTAGTTTCTAGATGAATAACTTAGATTCAGAACCAGCCTTTACGAAAGCAAAAACACACACACAGAGAAGAAAAGTACTATATAGAAAAGTACAAGATCATTTATGGCAAGAGGTGTGGGATGCCTCTTCTCCATACATTCTATCTCTGTCTCAGTGCCTAGAGAATCTTTATGCAGAGATGACTTTGTTTTCACAGTTGCTTTCATGAGTTACAAGATTTACCTACACAGAAGTGCTGACTGATTATTCACACTACAAACTCTACCTCAGCAATCAACAGAATAAAGAAATAACTCCAAAGAAATCAAGGGAAAATGTTAATCATTCATTTTCATTTATTATACGGCTCTCTATAACAACATGAGTTAAACCAAACATACTACATTCAACAGAAGAAAACTAATTTTGAAAAGACTGAGGTTCTCAAAAATCTGGTCTGGGACACTGCTACAGAGAGACAGAAAATATTCAATTCATAACTAAAATCAGGGCAAGTGTATACGCAAACAAAGGAAAAGGTCAGTCAATAAAAACCATCCCTCAGAAGTAATACTGACAATAATAATTTTAAAATGGAGGTGTTTGATCTGTTCATTTCTTTATTATTAGGTTAAGTAAGTTACCTTTAAATTCTTTGAACATGTTCCACTCACTAGTGCTACAACGCCATCATCTGTTACCTAGAGGAAAAAACCACATCGTTATTAACACAATGGATTAAAACTCAATTTTTTCAAACACAGCTATTTGGGGAGAAAAAAAAAATATTAATTTATTCACTCCCTGTAGTCACTGAATACACTTACATTATGGTAATTTCTCCCCAACTAAGCTTGTAGAGAAAATTATCCAAGTATGTTTTTTTCAGTCTATGAAACGCTGTTGCATTTACTGCCCTGTGAACCAGCCTGCCATTCTTCCGGGATGTTTCCAACTGTGTAACTGCCATTTCTGCAGCTCCCATGTCTCATTTAACAGCGGGTACACTATTATGGTCAGAGCACAGCACTTGTAATTTATAAGGTTTAGAGCACTTCTCTTCTACCTAGACCAATTTTTCTCCAGTTTCCAGGAGCGCTGGATATGTTCCTGAAGGAAGTGTCTTGGGTTGGGGAAAAAAAAAAAGTAATCGTAGCAATCTTTTATCTGCTGTCTTACTTTTACTTATCTGGAGGCAAACCAGTTACATAAGACAAAAATCTCTCAAACAAGCAGTCTTACAGCAGTTGTCATACGCTTGCACGAAAAGGTTTACCCGAGTGACTGGGTACAGACAGCTACGAAGCAATGACTACCTGCAAGAGAGAGGAGAGAGACAAAAGACATTCCTTTCCTAGAAAGGCCAATTTATTTGTTTGCTTCCAAGAACCAAATTCATTAAACTTCCTCCCCACTTCAAAAGCTGGACTGGATATCAGATCCATCACACAGGTTCTTTCATAGAGCTTATATTAGATGGCAGGAATAGCAGTCATCAAATGTACGCAGGAAGGCTCAGCCAAATTTGACAGCTAGAATTCAGAGACCACAAGTTCCATTTCTGTTTAAAGATTTGATTATTCCCATTGCACAAATTGCCTTATTGCCTTCTGGTCCTCTATTGCAAGTCTACTGTGCAGAACCATAATAGAAAGGGTCAGATTGATGTTAAAATACCACGGGTTAGAAATTAACTCTACCAGACTTACAAAATTGCCAAACTAGGATCTTAAAACAATGTACCTTTGTGTATGTTTGTCAAAAGCAGAAGTTTAAAGTGATGAATTTCTACCTTAATCAGCAACCCATGAAGAACTGTTTAGGTTTGCCAAAAGAAATAAGAAACTAGGGGTAAGGTAATTCCGGCAAGGGGAGATCACGACCACCGACTCACCGACCACCTACCCCAATCATACCACGCACTGAAAAAAAAAGGGCAGAGAAGTAGGACTAAGCACGCATACTAATTTACATGCTAGGCAAAGAGATTTTAACCAATCATTTAATAGGATAACAATGTATATGTATTAGGATGACGAATATGTTAATGCTTTGGTTTTGGAGCTTTTGCTTTTGTTATTGGTTTGGAGCCTTGGTGCGCTGTCTTGAGACAGGCACTTACATGTAAGTACATATTTAACAACAGGAAATACCTCCACTCTGTGTGTGGATTGGCTGTTTGCACACTGGTGATGAACTCAAGTTTTGGGACAACACAATCAGTGCAAATGGAGAACAGACAGGAACGCCTGAGCACAGAGGCATACAAAGGCCTGTAAGAACAGCAGGCACTGTCAGTATCTAGCTTAGCAGGTCATCAAGATGATAGTACTTTTAGCTCCTCAAGACACCCAGAGCAGAAGACAAAGGGCAGTAATTGAATAAATTCTAATAACTCCTATAGGTGAGACAGAATGGAGAGAGTAATCATAGTCAGTTTCTAAAGGGTATAAAACGGCATATGCAAAACCAGTGCATGGTCACCAACCTAGGACCAAACCGAGTAAAGTGACGAATGTCTGATAGCCTGTATCCCTTATCCTTCACGCTATCAAAACAAGCCTGGACCAGACTGCCTGGCTGGTGCCTGAACAGTGGAGAGACCATCTGAACGCTACTGTCTTCATGCTTGTGAGTACACGGTTACGAAGCGTGAGAGCATGAGGTCAGTTTTGTAGTTAAGACGAAGTCCCCTCACTTCCCTGTACCAGCTCACAGTACCCACCGCTATACTATTACTGCAGTGTCACAGTAGTGCTTCCTACTCTACTGAACATCTGTATTGTTTGTAACGCCACATCTGCCCATCCTCACCAAGGGACACACTTTTATACTGGGGATAAACCACCTGCAGTTGGTACCAAGCCACAAGTGTACCGGCTTCTTGGTACACACCAGTTGTCACCAAACTCTGTAAGCATCTCTAGCAAAGGCTTGCACAGCCCAGTACCAGCAGGTAAGTCCATTAGCAACCCAGCTCTGCTCTACATGAGAAGTGTCTGGACAGATAAAACGGTAACCTGCAACACTCCTGCTTTTGCCAACACACGTTGCTGAGAACTAAACTGTCCCACACCCTACGTGTTGCAGTTTGCACAGCCCTTTCAGGCAAGATTCTTCCCATAATTATTTGCCATACACTGAGTCAATGAACACGAAAGAGGAAATGTACTGTTTAATTAGTGCAGGGATTTGGACTCTTGAGCCTGTGTTTCTACCTGTTCACACTGCAGGGATTTAGAGCACACTAGAAACAGAGCAGTAAGTAGAGGCCTTATGTATAAAACCTACCTCCTCAGAATGACAACATAAGCATGCTGATAAGTAAACATAAATACATTTCTCATGCAGTCCTGGGCCAGTATAACAGAGTTCTCCAGGCCAAGCTTCCACTCACACTCTCTGCGTGCTTCCATGGGACACAGAGCTATAGCTCCTTCTTACTTCAATCTTTTCCTCAGCCACGCCGTTTCTTGTTATTTTGCACCACTTCAATACCTCTACTTAATGTACTTCATCTCCACAGTCACTAGATGAGCCTATTTTTATAATGGCTACATCACCTTGAGGCATTTGGCCCCTCTATAGTCCAGCTCTCATCTGCTTCCTTCTTCCTGCAAGTGAGCTGTGCTCTTCTTTGCCTGTTCATTTTTTTCCAACATTGTCACTGTTTTACACACAGCTTTGCCAGCTCCACTTGCTGGACTATGCTGGACTATGCTCCACTAAGCATTCTGGCAATCAAACACAAGAAACTGGTTAGGCCTTGCAATTCCTAAAGGCATGAGCCATCCATAGTTTCTTTGCTTCATCTTAAACTTATTTCATCTATATCTAGTATATGTTTCCATTTATTTTTGTTAAATGAAGTTCAGAATTCTAGTGTATTACCACCATAAGACTATCAGAAAGGAATAAAAAAAAGTGGAAATGTTTAGTTACTCAAGAAGCTTTCATCTCATATAGGGAAACAGCTATTTTGCATAAAGGAAGAGAAAGTAAGGAAAGCAAGGGAAAAAAAAGTAATTCAGAAAGTTTTGAAGAAATGAAGTTAAATGATAATAATAAAAATAACCAAAGAAAATTTTAAAATTACTTGTGATGCCCTACTTCTGGAAACACTGAAAGAAGAGGATTAACATCTAAAACAAGAACCTGCTACATGTTTTCCAGATCCAACACTTCATTATAAATGCTCTGTGCCTGACTCATTCCACAAAGTAATTGCTCACCACCACAGTCAACTGAACACTACACTTACTGCAAAAAATCCTTTCCCTCACTTCATTATCTTACTGTAATGATGAAGGATGGTACAGTGCTGATGCTGTAGCTTATTTCCCCCTTCTCATGCTGAATACTAACCATTGTTAAATCCTCTTACCTGCCCTTTGTGACATCTAAAATGCCA